CACTGTAGTCCCAGTTGGGATCTTCCTTTCAACAAAACCAGCCCCGACAATAAAAGAACAAAAGAAGCCAGCTCCTGCTGTTGAGGCTGTAGTGATTTGTGTGTGTTTTATTCATGTGAATGTGGAAAACCAAAAGCTGTAATATTTACTACCTAATGAGATCTGATATGAAACACAAACAGCAGATGCTATGGCTGATTTGTCGCCACATCTGCTAGCCGCTGTCGCCTTAGAGGGCCTACATACTTAAGGCTATATCTGTCCTTCTTCCTCTCTCTTTCATTAATCATGCAGGAGTCATAGATAATGGATTGTGTCTCTAGCCTTTCACTGCTTGCTGGCCAGATGGATCTGTTAACATGACCTACAGTGTATACATAGGCAGGTCTTTGTCCCTTCAGACATGCAACACTGGACATGACTTTAAACAAACATGAAGAATTCCTTTTTATTTCTATAAATATAGCTACTAGCTAATGTTAGCTCCCGAACTGAGAGCTGAGATCAGGGTGCACAACCATTTTTCAGTCTTTTGCTCCTGTCAGTGGAATCTCTAGGCCCGCTGTCAATTAGCTACAGTCTGCTAAGGCCATCCATTCTGAAGTGCCACAGTCAGTAAAATAATTTAAACGACTTTTTAGCCAAACAAAACAAGAATGGATGCAGGCCGGGTATCAACAAAGCCGAAAGCCTGCCCACTACAGTAACAAGCCATCCAGCGGATAAGAGAAGTAAGCCTGTTTTGCAATACATCTCATTATGTCACACGAGTATGAAATCACAGACAGTTAATCAATGCAACTCTCAGTGGGTAAGGGTTCATTTTGCCTTTTTATAGTATTTAGCGTAATGATTTTTTTTTTTCCAGTCGCTTGTGTCCCACATCAGCCGTTTAATGTTCTGTAATTTAGCCTGTGTTTAAAAGATGTGACCACAAATGTGAGGTGATGTGGTTTTACGAGAATAACAGCTCTTGCACTCCAATTACTCACACTGGGCCTTGTACTGTTTGTCCATTTGCATTTGTAAAAGGACCTTTAAGGCAGATAAGGCTGACTGAGAGAGGAAAAGCAGGGGGTAAATCTGAAAGCTTTTATTTTGTGATGCATGTGTGTGTGTGATAATGATAATGAAGAAAGGGAGGAATAGATTGTTACTAGCAGGAAATATGAAACATGATCCCTGACTCAGTGTTTGTGGTCTGAAAGGACATATGCACCTACAGTAATGATGTCAGTGAGTGATAATTGAGCAAGAGGTGTGTGCAGTGGGGTGTCTTGTCATGATGATGGTCTAATCAGAGGGTCACAAGTTTATATGCCTTAATATTACTAATCCCACCCCTGGCCCAGCGCTAGCTATTAATGTTTTTGGATTGATCCTGATTTCATACATCTGTTAAAGGTGTTTTTTTTTTTGTGTGCTTTTTTGGGTGTGTCCCTGTGTGCAGGTTAACTTTGTGGCTTGTCAGGTGTTTGCCCTGCTGATGGCTGTGTGGTTCAGGATCTACCTCCACCCAAGTAAGACCAGTCCCTTCATCAGACACGTGGTGGCCACTCTGCTAGGCTTCTACTTGGCTCTCTTCTGCTTTGGCTGGTGAGTCACTCGTCTGTTTATCTGTCAGCTCTTCTCTTGTTATCACTGTCCTTTTTATAGTACTTCATTAGTTTTTTTTTAATTTATAGATCCTTTCCTGTGGACTGGGCCAGTTTTATGCAGATGTAAATTATAAATACATATGTAATGTAAATGTAAATACATTGCTATATGCTGTTGGATTGTTTTGAAAGGGTAGTGTTATTCTCATGATTCAGTTAATGGTTGAAAACCTTTACTAATGTGCATTGCATAATTTGTTCAGAACAAAATGACATAACAGTCAATGGAAACCAGAATCATCAATCCATGAAGGGCTGTATTCAAAATCACAGTGAATAAAACAACAAAAAGTGAAACAATCACAGGCTCATCCAAGTTGCGTGAGTTTTATCACAGCAATTTATAATGTGACTGAGAAGGGTGTATGGTTGCCACAGGCCACTTCTGACAGCGTCTGGGGATGTTCCTGATGAGGTGAATGGTGTCCTGGGGGATTTCCTCCAAGACCTGAATCAGTGCATCAGTGAGCTCCTGGACTGTCTGTGGTGGTACTTGGTGGCATCAGAAGCACCAAAAGATAATGTCCCATAGGTGCTCAATTGGATTTAGGTCATGTGTAGAATGTGAGGGTCAGTCAGTGGCATCAATGCCTTTGTCATCTTGCAACTGCCTACACACTCTGGCCACATGAGGCCGGGCACTGTCCTGCACCAGGAGGAGCCCAGGGCCCCCTGCGCCATCATTAGGTCTGACAATCGCTCTGAGGATTTTATCCCAGTACCTGAGAGCAGTCAAGGAACTGTTAGCTATGCCTCCCCAGACCATCACTGGCCCACTACCAAACCGGTCATGCTTCATGATGTTACAGGCAGGAGACATGCCACCCCGATGGAGTCTGTTTCTGACAGTGTGGTCAGAAACATGCACACCAGTAGCTGCTGGAGGTCATTTTGTTGGGCTCTCGCAGTGCTTCTCCTGTTCCTCCTTGTACAAAGCAAATACGGGTCCTCTTTTTCGCTTGTTGCCCTTCTACGGCCCCGTCCACGTACACATGACTAAAACCCCACAAAACAAAAAGCTAGCCTAGTTGTTTATGTGTTAACTTGGCAGAGTTTGCACTGTACCTCTGCATGTTTCTGCTGTTTGCGTTTGCTGCTGTGATCAAGTGATCTTCTGACCTTATCATGTTATTTCTAGGCACCCGTAAAAGCCAGGGAAAACAGTGGCTCTTTGTTTTTAAAGACAAAATCATGATCTCGAAATTTCTTTTTTTTTTAATTGACTACTCAAATATTTGAAAATGATTGCCCATCCCTGCTATCATCCTCTTTCTTTCTGTCCTCTCACTTGAGCTGCTCCCCTTGCAGCCTTTCATTTTCTCACTCGCCCTCAGTTTGTCTTCATTTTCTTTATCCTTGCCAGAGCAAATAGGTTGATCATGTAGTAACTGATTTCCAATTAGAAAGCTTTTGCTGTGTTATAGACAACCCACTGTACCTTTGGCAGGTTGCCCCTTAGAGTACTGTGTGTGCTTGTGTGTGTTTGGAAACTGCTACACATCCAGCTATTGGGAGTATGCCAACCAGCCAAACTGTGATATGGCTTTATTTCATAACCTTGCTGATACACTCTCCATGTACATGTTGTGCCAGACGCTGATATCATTTGTTGTGGAGAGCTAATGTATTGTATTAATAGTAATGTATTATAATTCATTTGAAACAAAACTATCTTGTATTTAAATTGTGGCATGATGTAGGCACATGAAAGTGAGTGCTAAACTAAATCAGGGAATGTTATCTGTAATAAATAATGTAAACCCATACACTGTAAATGAGTGTAGGTAGATACAGTTTAAAATACTGGTATTGTATATGGTATTTATTATACTCAGTTTGGTGCACCAAGCTTTAAGCATCTATATTATAAACTAAATCAGCATTAAGTTCATGTTAGTGTTACATGAAATGTCTTGTTAACAATACCACATAATGATGCAGGCCAGAAATTATTTGATGAAGTTGCCAAGTAGAGTGAGATGGCATTAACTCAGCCATGCTAATGATTATTGTTTATAGGATCCCAGTCTGGTTGCTCATGCGTAATGTATGAATGCTTGTATGCATGCACATAGTTTGCCTCTGCACAGTTTTATTAACATGCATACTCACACACACAGATGATAATTGAGTCTTTCATTGCTGATACACGCACTCACACTGATCTGTATTAGAGGACACCAGGCTGCAGGTCCTAGAGGATCTGGCTCAGAGATGCTGCAGGATGTTGGCTTATTTTAGGAGCTAGTTCCTCTCCAATGGAAAATTGTTTCCGCATGCCGCCGGACACCACAATTGGTGATTGCTGAGCAACAGAAACATTTATTCCATCAAATGAGACTGAGTTCATTTTAGGGTTTTTTTGGACATGAGGAAAGACTGCATTTATTTAATACTGTCAAGCAAACAAGTTAGAAGTTACAGTGTGCTTAGTTGTGTAAGAGCTTTAGATATCTTTTCTGTCTCCCTTCCTCCTGTTCTGAATATCCTTTTTAACTGGAGAGATCATTTAATTCACCCAGCCTATCTTCCCTTATTCCCTGCCCACCCCTGATGCCCTCGCCCTCTTCGTCAACAACTAGTACAGTGTAGCATCTCTCCTCTGCTGGAGGGCCTGACGTAGGCAGCACCCTCCATAGACCCATCTGGTAGCTGCCGCTGCTCTTGAACTGTGACTTTGTGTCTTGTATTTGTGCTTCATGGGGAATGCACATAGAGTTTGATAAACCTGGACGCAAATTCCTGCACAATTCACTATATTGATATAAGGGATGTTGCAACTGGAAGGCATGGGAATCAACTGAGAACACAGTGTGATCATCATCATCCTGTCCTGTGACTGGAGATGACACATTGCAAATGGGGCTTCACACGGCTGATGGCATAACTGTGGTTTTGTAATGTTGTGGTTTCTCCTTCCTAATGGTGCTATGGGGTAGCAAAACAGGATGTGAGGGGTAAAACTCGATCAAATAAAGTCTAGTGTTGTCTAATCAAGGGTTTTCTATTTTCCAGTAAATGACGAACTAAGACACCATGCCAGGCAATGGTAAATGTAGTGCTGAGACAACATTCACAGGCTCTGCACTTTAAACCTAAAGAATTAGGTTTGGATCCTGAGCCAACAAGGATCAGCCCCACCAAAGTGTCATCAATTGACACACTGAATACCTACCAGGACCTTTGTATTCACAATTTGGAACAATACTATACATTAATATTAATGTTGTCTGTCTCCTCACAGGTATTCTCTCCATTTCCTGGTGCAGAGTGGTCTGTCCTACAGTGTCATAGTCTTTGCTGGCCTGGAGCACATGCACAAGTAAGAGCGAGTGGAGCACCTCGTGGTTCCTAGAAGTGTCAGAAATTCAGAATCAAACCCAAATATAAAACGCCTCATCATTTCCCACTTTAATAAACCTGAATAGGGAGCTAAAAGCTGGATGGTAACATTTAACAAAGGCAGCATATCAGTGAACTGTGGGTCAGTCTCATATTTGCTTCTTCATCCATCTGTCTTGTTTACTGGCATACAAGCCTGGGTTACAGTGGCAAGGATTCTGCCCCTAGGCTTCCATCTGTGACCATGGCTCATCAGGACAGCCACACATACACATGCATACCCATGCACTCACACTGTCTTTTATGTGCTTTATTTATTAATTAATTTTTTTACCAGAACTCAAGGTTGTGAGTGTAGCCGTACACAGTGGATGTTTCCCGTTGGGGAGAGCACTTTAACTAGATAGTAACAAATGACACTAGTGACTGTGCTCAGAAAGGAAATACTCAAAACCCAGTGAGAGAATGACGATGACCACTGGTTTAAACCAGACTAAAAGGTGACATTTCAATATCCAGCTCTGTTTTACATCATGTGTCATATTCATAACTTTACCCCTTTACAAACAGCATTAGTGTGCTTTTACCCTGGGGTTCCATCTCTTGCGTAAACGGGTAGATAAGCAGCGACCATGCCTTCTTATTGTACCTCTTATAAACCTGAAAACTGAAAGTGTCACTCAAGCCGAACCAACACACCTCCCATCATTTTCAGAGATAATGTTTACCCAGCCCTAGATGAAAGTGCAGTTCAAGGCGAACCACAGGCATTTGCATAACAAATGAGTTATATATTGTTCAGATTTATCTCAGGCTCTCTGCTTTTGCAGATATAAAGTACACATCCTCCCACTATTTAACCCATTGCATTTGCTCTTTAAACTGCCCTTGAGTTGGTTGCATAGATAATCAAAGCTTTGAAATACTGCCACTTTGCTTTATTTTATGCTTCCTTCTATTTTCTCTGTTCCAGTCTGCATTTGTTACTTGTGTTTTATTCTCTCCAATCTAATTTCAATAATTAGGTTGTCTGTTTTCTGTCTTTCTGATTCTCATGGTTTTAAAATCCATTTTATCTATATTTTGTCTAATAGTGCTTTTTTTGTTGTTCTCCTACTCCGACACCTGGCCCTTGGAATAAAGTGTCCAGTGAGCACCATGTAACACCTTTTATGGAAAAAATCTTTTTTCTGGACTGTGGGAGTGGCTGTGAATATGTACGTGACTTAGTGTGGCTCCAGACTGACTAGAAAGTCATTGTCCAGTGGTGGCGCATCATGTTTCATACATTCACTCTTGTGCAGGTCCAGAGTTGTGACTCTTCCCCTCTCCCACTCCCACGCTCTCTTCGACAGCTCACCTATTGGATGTGGTGAGCACACAGAGAATGTTCCAGATGCTTTCCAATTTGCCTGAAGTGTGTGAACCTAGAATGCCCTGCTGGTTGATGGAGAGCTGTGAAATTGTTAGATTTGGTTTAACCAGTGAAGAAGGCTGTGACAACAAAACAAGTGCCCTCATTAATTGATACTGTGCTAAAAGAAGAGCCATAAAACATTTCTTTTATAACTCAGACTGCTGAAGAAATCAAACATGACATGCCATCAAGCTTGATGGAAATATCGTCTTTTCAACAGATTATAGCCTATTTTGCTTAATTTTCTACAGCATGGCAAGTTGGTATTTCAGTGGCACTGGCACCCAAACATTTTGGCTTGTAACCCTTAAAATGAAGCACTCATTTTGTGCCTCCCTTGCTACAGTGTCTACTTCTTGTAACTGTCTTAATGAAGAAGCTAGTTTTCTTCTTTCCTATCTTGTTAATCATCTTGTGACCCACTCAGATGTCTCAGGAGTCTACATGTGTCAGTTTATTACCAGAAGCACTAGGAAGTGACTGTCTGGCTGTGTTTTGACACGGAGGACGGAAAGGTGATGCTGACAGCTGAGGCTACCTGCTTACCTAATTTCTCAGCCTTGCATAGCAGCTGAAGGACACTTAAGCAGACCAGATATGTTCTAGCACAGGGACACTGACGTTGCCACTCAGGAGGGGCTCCTCCGTTAATGAGGAAATTGTAATTTTTTTTTCTTTTTCCTCTGTATAACATAAGCCGCATGCTGAACAGATGTTTTCTGTGTGCGCATTTGCGCTAGCATCTAGCATCAGGTATTCCTTGAGGCATTTACTATGTGTACACAACATTAGAGAGAGGTCCTGGTGTGTTCAGACATTTATTTATAGCCTGTTTTTTTTTTTTGTTTTCAGTGCTCTAAGTACAGTGTGTAGTCATTCGCGGAGCTCTAGCAGTGACTTTTCTAACACCATCCCGCAGTGGAAGGTCAGCTCACTTTAGTCCTAGGCCCCATCTGGTGCCTTGAATGGAAAATAAAAAAACACCCCCCTTTAAGTTGTGAACACAAGTGAGATGAGGATAAAGGCAGCATCCCTGGTGGGCTCACTGCAAATGTGTAGTAGCTGCTGGAGCACATACAGTACAACTCCTATTCTTCCTGATGACAGCAGCTGTGTACTGAAAGTAGATGAAGCTGATCCTAATGAAATAGGATTGTTGCTATGGATAGGAAATTGAAAACGGAGTCAAAGAAAAGCTTTTTTTGCACTACTATACTGTTCATTTTATGTCTTATAATCTTACATTGAGCACATTTTTAATGTATTAGTTTTCAGAAATCTAACCAGACACAAAACATTAGTCAAGGTAAAGTCTGAGGATCCTTCCTGGGCTCTTAGTTTAAATCTATGAGTGTGCTGATAAATTAACTTATGGCTTTATTGCCAAGGAGGTCACATATTCTTCTGTTACTGTAATTTCCTTTTCTATAAAAACATCCATATTTAGATTAAAAGCTTCAGTCTTTGTGTACATTGCCATGGCCATAAATGATGCTAAATGTCGGGTGGATGCAAACACAGAAATCTCTGAGGGTTTTTCCAGTGTTTAATAGCAGTAGTGAGTTTTTAGAGACTGAGAAAGTTCGTTAAAGGTCTGAAAATGTTTCATATTTTGTTTTATTTTGTTGTAAAAGGTTCACATTAAAGATAAGATGATGCCTTTACTGCATAGGTTCTCAGAAGTAGGTCTCCAACACTGCTGGGGTGTTGTATAACTTCTCAGAGCAGCACAATCCTCTTTATGTTGGCCACAGATGAATGCAAACAAGCTAGTGTTGACTTGGGCTGACTGTGCAATAGCACTGTACCACAGATCACTTTAGTGCTGCTGTCTTTGGGCTTCTGTTGAAAGTTTGTGTTGTCCTTTGTCTTCCTCCACTGACAGTGGCACATTATTGGAGAACCCTCTGCCCTTTTGTCCAGTTTTTGACCCCCTCACTTTTCCATAGCTCTGCTTTGCTGCAGAGGCCACTGTTTTTGTACTGTACTGATAAAAGGTCTTTATGAAAACAAAGGGATCAACCAAGTTTATTTTCTCCCTTAATTAAGATATGAAAAGCTCCATATCCAAGCGTAGACTAAATTGTTGGCAATGAGTGTAAGAGCATATGCACCAAGATTTCCTAGTTGTGTCTTTTGAATGCAACATCTGTGTGTGTCTCTTCCTCTGTACAGGTACTGCTTCATAGTGACAATGGGCTATCTGATCTTGTGTCAGATCACACGAGTCTACGTGTTTGATTATGGAATGTACTCCGCAGATTTTACAGGGTAAGCTGTGCTAACACTACAGACCTTTCTATAATCTTTTGGATTCTTAATTAAAAACTGAAGATCTCCTTTGAGCTTAATTGTAATTCCCTACGGAGTATGACTGATGCTGAAAAAAAACAAGGAACTAGTAAGAGTCTGGGGAATATTACATATGACTTAACCTGCTTGAGCTGAACAGAAATGAGAGCTAGTCCCACAGCTCAGCAGTGTCCCCAGAAAGATGTCGATGGAGACTATGGCTCCTTGTGGTTGGTTCCTACTCCTCCAGACTGTCTGACAGTTCAAGCAGACAGCCTGCACTCCCAGCAGGGTGGGGGTGGTAGTTGCTAAGCAACCTAATGCAAAACCATACTGCCTGTGGGAGGGCAGAGATGTCCAGCATTTAACTACCTCATCTACGCTCAGTTTTTCTTGAAAATGTCAAATCTGCATGTTTTAAAATGTTAGCTTAATCCCTACAGTCAAATGTTCTTCATTCACCAGCACCAGGTAGCCTATAATTTGCTTAACATCTGAAGCAGTTTTATTAAAAAAAAAAACCAGGAAATCTCCAACCTGTTGTTATTATTGAATCTGTAGCTTAACTGAATGCTGCCGCCAGCAACATTAGATTAGAATTGCAAGCATTAACAGAAATTTTATATTGGACTGAAGTCAGGTCTTTGCGATGCCCACTCCAATACTTTGAGTTTGTTGTCCTTAAGCCATTTTACCACAGCACTGGAAGTCTACTTGGGGTCATTGTCCATTTGGAAAATCCATTTACCACCAAGCTTTAACTTCCTGCCTGATGTCTTGAGATGTTGCTTCAATATATCCACATAATCTTCCTTCCTCATGATGCCACCTATTCCGTGAAATGCTCCAGTCCTTTCTGTAGCAAATCACCCCACAACATAATGCTGCCATCCCCGTGCGTCATGGTTGGGATGGTGCTCTTTGGCTTGCAGGCCTCCCCTTTATTTCCCCAGACATAATGATGGTCATTATAGCCAAATGGTTCAATTTTTGTTTCATCAGACCAGAGGACATTGCTCCAAAAAGTACAAAAAAAAGTAGAAAAATAAAGATAATCACTTTATTTGGCCAAGTATGTTACACACACAAGGAATCTGTTTCCAGTACAGACTTGTGTCATGTCCCAACCAACTTACCAAAATGAGAGTTTAACATGACATCTGTGGAATGGTTAAAATATTTTAATGGCTTCAGCTTAAGCCTGTGTAAACTTCAGACTTAAACTGTGTGTGTGTATCAGGTAATGTTAGTATTTCTGTTGTGAAGAGCAGAGTGGCTTTGAGATTCACAATATTAACTAGGCCTGTTTCTGTTTAATGCTCTTTATTAGGCCCATGATGGTTATAACACAGAAGATTACCAGCTTGGCGTTTGAAATACATGACGGTAAGACAAGTCTCAAAGTGTCTCTTAAAGTGTGTGTTCATGAGTGTGTGTATCCTGGGTGGGGGTGGGGGGAGTGGCAGATATGACAGAAGTGAAAATGTGAAAATGTTCCTTTCTGGTTGGAGTTTAAAAAAAGATCACACGGCCATGTTTCCAAGCCAGTAGTCAGCTCTGACAACAGGCTAGTGAACCAGAAACAGAGTGTAACACACTTATGTAATGCAGCAAAGACAAGTGTGCATTCTGTCTGTCGCCCTTTCTCTCTATGTGAGAATTTAATGGCCAACTTTAAACTCAAGCTGAATTTGAAATGAAAATGTTACATTATAGCAGAGCAGCTCTAGTATAAATGTTCAGAGGATCCAGTTTATCTTCCATTGGTTGGCCTAGATTTGCATAGCTTTTTGAAGCGAATACAGGGTTTTTTGCTGTAACTGAAACATCACAGGTGCTGACATGGAAAAAAAACAAGTGCGATCAATTATTAGAGGCGAGGAGAGGCTTAGAGATTGAGCCAATGATGAGCCACTCACAGCTTTTTAGTTCCCACTTGGAGTGTTTAGTCCCTGCAGGATATATGCCATGCCAGCTACTTGGAAAGAGGCTGGGAGAAGGGAAAAAGGCTCTTTATTAAGATGACTTGTACTAATTGTCTAATTAGCACCTAGAATGTTGTAAGCTTTCCCTGTTTTTGTTTCATGTCTTTTTTGTATGTTACCGGTAGATGTATCTTTTGTAAAAACAATGGTGTCTCGTATTCTCATGTGGGAAAGGCCAGATCTGGCATGATACAGAAATAAAATAAGATAACTAACTCTATACCCAACACAGTCATCAGTCAAATAACAGCTCAGTATAGTGTTTTAAATTCTGTTGAAGTCGCTGATTCTCCCTGCAGCTATGTCTCTAATGAGAAACAAAGACTGTAATATCCCTGCTCAGAGTCACACCCTGCTACCTGTCTGCTGTTTATAGTTAAAAAGTACCAACCTCCGAGGCTGAGAAATGAAGCTAGTGTGGTTAAAAACTGCAGTTTCTTGAATGACTACTTGAGGCTGACTCCAAAAGGGAGTCATTGCCCATAGGCTCCCATGTTCAGCTTGATGGCAGAAATAAACATGTTTACAGCCTGGTACAAAAACCGGCTTTGGTTTCTATAGCTGATTTCTCCTTCCATGAATTTTATATAACTTGCCTGTTTATGTTGAGACTAAAGGTTGAGCATTAATTAAGGGCGTGGCCACTTTGAGTGACAGGCAGGAGGGTCCCACCACAGGTGGCTAACCGCTAGCTGTCTAGTGAGTTCCAAAATGGCGACGGTCAGAAAACCAATAGGTGATGTCACCAAGGGCTCTTTCATCATTTATATACAGTCAATGAGTTAAGCACATTTCACAGTTTTTGCTTTTATAGAGGAATATACTTAAGAGAAGCTGCTTATATTTATATTCGGTTACAGTCCTCCCAATTCTAATCACCACTTGTTGTAACTAGGGACTGCAGGGTTTTACAGAATATGTATAATGCATGAGTTTGTATTCTGTACTATTAAGATGTTATCTATATACTCCATGTTACAGTTGAATCAAACTTCTTTTCAGAACATTATCTCCAATTATCTTTCTGTGTCTGTCTGTAGGTTTGACTAAGCGAGAATCCCAGCTGACCCCCAGTCAAAAATACCTAGCTATCAGGTATGTGACTCGGGTTATGGTTTTACTACTTCAGGTGATAAGTTGATTCATTCAAAGCTGAATTTTAAAAAAAAAAGTTGAGATGGTTTCAAATGAGCATTCACAAGGTTCTTCTGAAAGAATTCATACCTTTTTTAACTTTTAGTTATTTTTGTAATAAAAAAATCTTCTTTGCTTTTTACAGAGGAAATCACCACACTACCTTCCTTTCAGGCTTGCTTTGGTGCTCAGTATCTAGGAAACCACACATTCACTAGTCTCATGTGGGCTGTATTAAAGGAATGTCCATACTCTCCATCTATCCTGCATTACAACAGCAGGACTGGCATACAGTGGGTACAGAAAGTATTCAGACCCCTTTAAATTTTTCACTCTTTGTTATATTGCAGCCATATGCCAAAATCATTTAAGTTCATTTTTTTCCTCATTAATGTACACACAGCACCCCATATTGACAGAAAAACACAGAATTTTTTGACATTTTTGCAGATTTATTAAAAAAGAAAAACTGAAATATCACATGGTCATAAGTATTCAGACCCTTTGCTCAGTATTTAGTAGAACCACCCTTTTGAGCTAATACAGCCATGAGTCTTTTTGGGAATGATGCAACAAGTTTTTC